GCTTGAAGGCTGGCGAGGGTGGTATTCATACCCAAAGTCGGCAGAACCTGCTGCACCTTTCCCAAGGATTTCAGACCGATCAGCCTGACATCAATTCTCTTGAAAACGTTGGAGAAGCTGGTTGACGTCTATTTGAGGGATGTTGTCTTCATGCGGCATCCGCTGCATGAGAATCAACATGCCTACAGGATGGGCTACTCTACGGAGACGGCGCTCCACTCTCTGGTTTCCCAAATTGAGAGAGATATCATGGAGGGAGGCTACGCGGTGGGGACCTTTTTGGACATAGAGAGTGCCTTTAACAACACCCCTCACGAGGTGGTTTGCAGGGAGGCAACGCTGCGGGGCGTTCCACTTAGGTTGGTTCATTGGATCAGAGGTATGCTCCGGCGGCGAGTTGTAACGACGCTCGGCGCTGTCAATGTCGGCGGCTGGGTGGATCGAGGGTGCCCGCAGGGTGGAGTGCTCTCTCCATTTTTTTGGTGCTTAGTAGTCGATGGATTACTCAACAAACATAATGATAAGGGTTTCTTTGCGCAGGGATACGCCGACGATTTGGCGATTATTGTGCGAGGACCCTTTCTGGACACACTTCTGGAACTCACGCAGAGTGCTCTTGGAACGATAGAGGAGTGGTGTGACAGCACTGGCCTCATAGTGGAGTGCGACGCTAATGGGCACCACACTGTTTGGGGGAGCACCAATATTAATAATTGGGGCAGAAGGCTTCTGGATTACCTGGTGGCCACTGACCTAAAGATCCTGAACAGAAGCAACGAACCAACATTTTAAGATGTGCTTAGACGTGAGATACTTGACCTTACTCTAGGAATTTAGTCCCGGAGATTGTCAGGTGGCAGGTCTCATCGGAGCCCTCCCTCTCTGATCACAGGCAGATCGTCTTCAGACTTGCCAATGTGAGGTCTGAAACAATCTATAGAAGAAATCCGAGAAGGACGGATTGGGACTCGTTTCGAGAAGATCTCTTCAATGGTCTTTGCGGCTTCCCTAAGAGGCACGGAACCGCTGCGGAGGTACAGCTCTGCGTAGATCATCTACAAAGGGCTTTAGTGGGCAGCTTCGAAAAGAACTGTCCAGCGAGAGCAGTTCGCTCTAACAAGAAGGTCTCTTGATGGGAATCGGGACTGCAGAGGCTCCGGGAGGGGGCTCGACGTGCCTGGAATAGAGCCAGGAACATGGGTCGCCCGCTCGACTGGGACCTCTACCGGAGGGCCCAGAAGACCTATAGGAACTCTGTTGTAGTCGCCAAGAGAAAGAACTGGAGGAGGTTCCGGAGGCCTCTAAG